AGGTCTTTCTGACTATAAAGTCAGCTTTCTATCTACCCTGTCATTATCCCTCTTGTGGTCATCATTAGGAAGACTAATTGTACTGTGCTTAGATGCCTTGAGGATTTGTTGAGATAGTGATAGGGTTGACTGCTCATGCTTAATTTGGGGACTTGGGAGATGAAAAGCAGCAGCACCTCTGGTTGGATGTGCTTTTTAAAGTGATTCTAGGGGCAGCTAAGTGGTGAAGTGGATAGAGCACCGGCCCTGAAGTCGGGAGGACCTGAGTTCAAATCAGACCTCAGACCAAACACTTGACACTTACTAGCTGTGTGACCCTGAGCAGGTCACTTAACCCCAATTGCCTAAAATTTTTTTTTAATAAACTAAAGTGATTCTGAAAAGAAAAATGATTCTGTCTGCCTCTGATGGTTCCATGCTGCTAGGGTACCAGCTTTCACTGCTGTCTGCTTGGCTGCTTTTAGGACCTCCTATTCCCACTTCTAATTTGTTTTTACTTAGAAGCAATCATATAACCAAGTTTATTGGTACTGTGCATAAAACAAGAGTAAATAGGTTCATAGAGAGGGTGTCTGTGTGGGTGGCGCTCCTGTACGTGGGCTTTATTGCATAAATCTTGAAATATCTAATTTGATTACTGAGAGATCCTTCCCCCCCCCCCCCATAGTGAAAGCTCCTTGTGTCTTTAAATGCTAAAAATGATCCAGAGTAAAGAAGTGATCAGAACTGGGTGGGGTTAATCAAGAAACAATTCTGGTAGGAGGCATGGGGTAAAGAATGCTGGACCTGGATTTTGGAGAGATCTGAGTTCAAATCCCCCCTCTGCCACTTACTATCTGTGACAATGGGCAAGTCAGTTAGATTCTCTGAGCCTCAATTTTCCCTACTGTAGAATGGGAACAACATCATCTATAGATAGTAGCTCAGTTGTGAGGATCAAATGAGATTATATATGGAAAGCATTTTGCAAACCTCACAGCATTAAATTAGTATTATCATACTCAGAGGAGGAATGTCTGGTGTAGGATGAGATTCTGAGCATACTTGGTACAGAGAGAGACAGAGAGACAGAGACAGACTCAAGTAAGACCTGAGAAAATGGAGAGAGGGCCAAACTTCCCATGATGATCTCCTGTGGGTGACTGCTCCTTCCTTTTGGACAGATTCAGAGACGTGGGTCCCAGGGCTAGATATATCTGCACTCCTGCCTCAAAACCTCCACCGATATTTCCGCTATAAAGGGTCTTTGACTACACCTCCCTGCTCCCAGGGGGTTATCTGGACAGTGTTCAACCAGACGGTGCTTCTGAGTGCTGAGCAGGTGGGTTTATAGGAGAGCATGGAGCTGTGGCCGGGAGAGGGAGAGGCCAGAGCCCATGCTCCGGGAACATGTAGGTAGAAGAAAGGGGAAAGGGTACATTAGGCCTAAGGAGAAAGATTGGGATATATGAGGTGGGGGGCAGCAATAGGAGAGGTGAAGAGGAAATAGAGGGGGAATGGGCAGTGTGGTATGTAGATAAGGCAGGTGTCTGGGCACAGGGAGTGGTGCTGTTAGGCTCATGATGCAGTGAGTACCATTGAGGGTCTCTGGACATGGGGAATAGGGGTGTTGGTGGAGAGTGAGACTTCTCATCTCCCCTTAGTTCCCGTGTTTGAGTCCTCTCCTGTGACTTACCTATGACTTTTGACCAAATCATTCCATCCTTTCCTACCAACCCTATTCCTGTCACCACCAGCTCCAGATTCTGACTGAATCCGTGTTGGGCCCCATGGGCTCCCGGCTCCAACGGAACTTCAGGTTAACCCAGCCTCTGAATGGAAGAATGATTGAAGCCTCCTTCCCTACTACCATTGCCAGCAACATGCCACAGCACCCCAGGGGCCCAACTGCTGAGCCAGGTATAGCCCCTTTCCCTGCATCTGTGGATTCCTGGGTCCCAGAATCTTAGCTTCAGGCTCTGACTTTGCCATCTTCCTTTTCCCTCCCATTCAGTGCATGTGAGCTCCTGCCTGAGTGTTGGTAAGTTTTGGACAGAAAAAACCTTTCTTCCCCCTAAGGCCTAAGGATCCCTTGTGGGCTTCCTCTGGGGCCTTCTTAGATGGCTGTGGCAGTAACATTGGCCAAGAAAATGGTCCATTTTTCTCTTTTTACCCTCCTCTGCTATCACCATCTTTGACCTAATTAGGAATCATATAATTAGCCCCCAGTTTATCCCTATTACTACCTCCAATCCAGTGACCTGTAGAGCATGTCTACTCTGATACTTCCTAAGGGTGTGTGTGTGTGTTGTGTGTGTGTGTTCTGCTGGGGTGGAGGATTGGTGATAGGAAGGGATGACAAAGAGGAATTTAAATAAAAAAGGAAAAGTTGACGTTCCTGAGATTTCATGGGAAAGGTTAGGGTGTCTGTGGATCACCTGGTGCCAGTTTGAATCTCTGAGGGACCTCAGAACCATTTTACACATGGGAAAACTGAGGCCCATAGAGCTTAAATAACTTGCCCAAGGTCTGATAGGTTGTAAGCCTCAAGAATTTGAACCTAGATCCTCTGACTTCAGAGGCAGGGCTCTTTCCACTGTATTATACTGTTAAGTGTTAACTTTGCTGTTCCTTCCCCTTGATCCCACCCCTCCATCACCATTTCCTGCCCCCATGAACATGTATGACGCTTCTTGCTCCATTATCCACACATAGCTGAAAATCCTGCCCTTTTAGTTAGTGTCTGATTTTTTGGTTTTTTTTTTTTTGGTAGACTCTATAGGTAATTCTTCATAGGAGACCCCAGTACATAGATTAAGTTGTTAGTTGCACCAAAGGCTTGGATAGGATTAATTAGCTTTTCATGGAAAAGGCCCAATCTACAATGACCTTCTTTTTTCACCTAAGCAGCCTCCTTCTCTCTTGTATCCATCACTCCCACCCCCAACATTTCTTTGCTACAGGTGACATCCTGGCCCTGGTCTTTGGACTTCTCTTTGCTGTCACAAGTGTGGCCTTCCTTCTATACATGAAGCACCAGAAGAGGTAAAGATGATATCATTTTTGAGTCAGAAGGAATTTTAAGGTCATGTAGGACAACCCCCTCAGTTTACAAATGAGGAAACTGAGCCCCCAAGAGAGGAAAAGCATCCATCATTACACAGCCCCTGTTAATATTATCTTATGTCCCTTGAAACCCAGTTCCTCTTTCCTTATTTCATTCAGCACCTCTGACCTCCCTCCCTGTTCCTTATAATTCCATCCCTTTACCGTACACATTGTTTAATTCTCATCTTGTATGTACATTCTGGACAACCCCAAAGCTTCCTCTCTTTATCCACCATCCCCTGCCCCCAGGGCCTTCGCCATCTTAATCCAGCTGATCCCAGAATCCCTTGGGCCATTTCAAGAGAACATGCAAATTCCCTGACAGCCTAAGCACTGATTATATTGGCTTATGATTAGCATTTGACCCTGACCCTCTCTGTTTCTTAGGCCCAGCAGTGTTGCCAAAGAGAATATCATCTACCACCCTACAGAGATGACAGAGACAGCCACCTAGCCAGGGCTGCAGATTGAGAGATTGATCACAGAGTCCCAGACAGCTGGGGGTGGGGATGGGCTCTTCCCCAGCCACTTCCCTTGCAACACCCCTATATTTTTTTTAAATAAATGTTTCTAATAAAATACTCCAAAGTCTCATGTTATCATCCAACCTTGGAGGAGGGGAAAATGGGGTTGATTCCTAGTCATTAGGTAGCTGCTACTTGTCTCTGGGAAGACACAGGGGAGGGAGATTCTACTGAAAGAAATCTTCCTTACAGGGAGTCGGGCTAATAAGAGTAATAGCTAACATTTACACATTGACTTAGAGCTTACAAAGTGGCTTACGTGTGCTTGATCCTCATGACAACTGGGTAAGTCCTGTTATTATCCTTGTTTTATGGAAAAGAAAATCAAGGATGAGAGCGATGTCAGTGATTCATCTGGGGTCACCTAGATAGCAAGTGTCAGAGGTAGGGTTCAAATTGAACTGTTCTAAGTGCTAAATCCTATGATCCACTTTTTAGATGTCTACCTGAATAGGTTCCTCTTTCTATAACACCCACTGCTAGATGATCTGCAAGGTCTCTTTCAACTCTAGGGTTCTTTCAATTGACCTGTTCCTGCCTTAGGGAGATACTGTTCTGAAGAGGAGATATATAACCCCAACCCTCTAGGATTCCTGGGGCTTATTGGGTAGGGTAAAGGAGAGACTTGGTTTTGACTACATCAATAAAAAACCAGAAGTAATAGTAATTAATTCAGGAAGATACCAGGAACTGAACTAGATAAGCTTGGTGGAGACAAGGGGGAGATGGCGGACGTCACTTCATGAAAGAATCATGGGTGGTGTATTTTTTTCTCCTTTTCCCCTGATTTGGTATGAATCTGTTTAGTTTCTCGCCATTTCAAATCTTGCTTTCCAGTTCAGTTTCCTGCCTATGACTGGCTTCGAATCCCTCAGTGGGATGTGGTCCTCTCTCTTCCCCACCCTCCCTGGTATTTGATGTCTAGGGCAAGAGGGAAGTCCCAGGAAGATCAGAGACTAATGTGGCTGTAGACCTGATTGTTGAGAATGCAACCTGAACATTCTCTTGGCTTTATCTGGTTGCTTCTCCTGGAGATTAAGAGTTTCCTTCCCAGACAAAGGTTCCAGGTCCTCTTTTCCCCCACAACTTCCAGTGAAAGGCATAGCTAGCCAGCGACCAAGATCCTCTGGGTTTGTAAAGCAGTCAGGTTATACAATGAAGTTCTGCCCTCTTGTGCTCACATCCTGGCGAGGCAAACCTCCTGGACAGCCTTTGAAATCTCCCCTTCCTCCAGAATGGTGGCCTCATCCCATTGTAATCAGGAGAATTGAAAGAGAATCTGGAAGGACTTGACTCGGGTGTTGCTAGAAAAACCATTCAGGCGTCTGTTCCAAGTTCCAGAACTTTCTAACAACCCTTTCCTCTTTCCCTATCAAGAAATAGCACATGTTGGTTGAGATGGTGGTTTTAATGGGTTTGAAGTGCAGGGAAGAGTGCCCTGAGCAGGGAGGGAGGGAGGGAAGTAAGGGAGGGTAAGGGTAGGGGCAGCCAGGTCCACCTGGGCTGGGCTGGGCTGGGGTCTCACAGGTTGTTGAGTTCCAGCAGCGTCTGGTCCAGTGTCTGGTGAATTTCTACGTTCTCCTCCTTGGCACTGGCCAAGGTCTCTGTGAAGGGGGTGAGGAGAATGGCAGACACACAGGGAGAGACACAAGGGAGTATGAGGGGAACATGGTAGTGATGGTGTGAGGGCATGGGATACATGGATTGGACATGAACGTTAGGAGGACATGGAAGACAAATGCAAAGGGGAACAGGACATATAGCAACAAATGTGAGGGAGATACAGAGAAGCATGCATGACACATTGAGGCAGGAAGTTGAAACACAAAGGTGACATGGTGGAGATGGGGAAGGGAAGACACACAGATGGACAGAGAAGATGGGGTGGGGTCACGGGAGATGGGAGGATGGAGACAGGAAAGTGAAACAGGAACAGAGACAAGACGATTTAATTAGTCACCTCAGACACCAATGCCACCCCACCCTATATGTAAGGGCTGGAGAAGACAGTTGCAACCTGTTTTATGTATTTAAGTTCCTGAAAGAAGAAACTGAATCAGTTTAAAAAGACAAAGACAGGGACAGGCTCAAAAGCAAAAGATGGATCTTCAGAATAAGGAAAAGCTTATGCCTTTAGCATTTGAGAGACTGCCTCACCCATCCCTCCCAGGATAGCACCTCCCCCTTGCGCACTTAATCCATTGCCTTGGGCCTCAGGCAAGGTTATGACTGGGTCCATTGGGTAAGTGTGAGTGCACAAGAGTGCTTTGTGGGAGGGTTGGCGTGATGCTAGAGTGGGTCATGATAGTGCTCCATGAGATCATATGGGACAGTGAATCATATGGGTATTGGGGGGTCAGTGATATCCACGCAAATTATGGTGAAATGGAAGGTGACAAAGGTATTCTATGGTAGGTACTGGGGTCAGTAGGGAACATAGTGGTGCTCTGTGAATTTTTAAGCAGCTTAGGTCATAGGGATACAATGGGAAGATTAGAGGGGTGCTTGGTATGGAGAATTATAAGGGTGAGTAGAGGTCACTGGGAGTGCTCAGCGATGGGCACATGGAGTATCATGCTAGAGGGGATGGTGAGACAAACGTGGTGCAGTCCAAGTTGAAAGTTTATTAAATAGCAGACATAGATGGATGGATAGTGAATGGCAGGTGTGGGTGGGAGTGGGGCAAAGGTGGTTCTGGCCAGACACCCCCCAGCCCCAAGCCTGACTTTATGTGCATGGTCAGCAGCTTTGACTCCTCCTGCTCCACCTCCCCATGAGAATGGAAAGAAGATGAGAAAAGAGGGGTAGAGTAGAGAGAGGGCCACGTCCAAGGATTTGGGGCTCAGGTCTTAGAGGGAGGTGATGTCATTGAGGGCGTTGTCCAGCTCTTCACTGATGGCCTTGTACTTCATCTTCTGAGCATAGACCTCATCTGGGGTGTTTGGGAGGGTGTCAGGGTCGGGGTGGGGTAGGGTGTTGGTGGAGGGATAGAGAAGGTGAGATAAGGAAGGGGTGGGAAGATGTGCAGGAAAGGAGGAGGAAAGGAAGAGAGTGGGTAAAGGAAAGAGAAAAAAAATGAAAGTCAGAGCCAGAGAGAGATAGGCCAGAAAATAGTCTGGAAAATTAGAGTTCTGGTCTAGAACTCCTTCCTCCCCATCCCCAACCTCCCAGTTCTTCCCCTCTGCACCTAAATTGGTCTTTCTCCCTTCACCTGTCCTCTAAGGGGCTTCTGTTCCACTCAGGTAGCTTCTGTGTGTGTGTGTGTGTGTGTGTGTGTGGTTTGTTTTTTTGTTTGTTTTTATAGTGTAATCCCAATCTCAAAGACCATTGGTGTGGTGCTTCATTCTTATTGGTGAAGATCAATGCCCAGTGGCGAGTCCCATACCAACGGGCTTTAGGACTAGGGTTACAATAGAGAATATGTGGGTGGGGGCAGGTATATGGGGGAAAAAACTTGGGTTCTAGATGTTTACAAAAAATTGGATATTCTACATTATTTAATTTATATTTAAAAGTTTCCAGAAGAAGAGAAGGTCAAAACTCCTTGAGAAGCCATTTGGCTCTTACCAAGTGCCAACACTGTTCAGCAGAAACCCAGGGGCATTACAATGTAGGGGGCTGCTACTCTCTCTAAAGGAATGAGAGCCCAGTAGCCAAACAGGATATCCCAACAGAGTAGGGGTTGTTTACTTGGGTCCACAAATTGTAAATATATGCATATGTATACATATATATATATATATATTATATTGATAACTATTTCAATTTAATTGAAATCCTATATATTTTATGTTATGTCTTTAAAAGTATCATTCTGAGAAGGCATTTATAGGCTTCACCAGACTGCCAAAGGGGTCCATGAGAAAGAGAAGTTTAAGCCCCTCACCTCACCTTCTAACAAAGGAACACTAACTATCACAGGGATCTAGAGTCCAGAGGCACCTCAGAGGCCATGGAGTCCAATCTTCCTCCTCATTTTAGAGCCGAGGGGCCTCCGAGGGAGACCTGGCCAAGGTCATACAACCAGGAAGCCTCTGACTCCGGATCCTTGCCACCCTACCATGACGATTCGGTGGCAGGTGTTAATATTAAGTTTTAGTTTCAGTTGTGAGGTAAATAGGGAGCGGCTTTTTTCCTGCTTCCAAGGGATTGGAGAGCTGGCAGGCTATCCACCAAGGAAGAACAGCCTTTGAATCAGAAACAGGATTTTAAAATTCATATGTTGTTCGAGCTGGAAGGGACCTTCTAGGGATTAGTTCAAACCCCTTATTTTTAACACACAGGGAAACAGGTTCAGAGAGGTAAAGTGATTGTTCAAGGTCACACAGCACATTAATGGCAGAGTTAGGTTTCCAACTAAAGCCTTTGGACTCCAGTGATCTCTTTCCACTTAGCTTAGAGTAATTAATCACTAATCACTCGTTAACTTGTAAAGCCTGAGCCAGCAGCTATAAAAAAGAAAAGCTTCGAGAGTCATAAAGGCCAAAGCTTGTCCGGAGGCCAGGAGGCAGGTTTTTTTGAAAGTTGAAGGACTTAAAATAAAAAGGAAAATGAAGGTTTATCTAAATGATTGTTGATAACATTGGGTATCTAAGCTAAGGCAAGTACCAGCCTGTACCTGGCTACTTGTGTTTCTTTAAGTTTTATTCTTAGTATTCTTTTAGAGTTGAAGTACAAGCACTGGGAATTAGTGTTTCCTCCAAGTGTTTTATTTTTGATAAAGGGGCTTTATCTCATATATCTCTACCCCTATACCTCATCTTGGTGTGAGGGTGACCCTGGATTCTTGCTGGATAAGCAAAGGCAGTACAAACTCTGGTCATCTTACCCAAGCTAGAGAGGGTTCTAGTGAATTAGTATCTAAAGGAGAAATGGGGTTCAAACACAAGGTTCTTGGAAGGGGTTCCCCTTTACCTTCCAGATCATCAATGGTTTTCTCCAGCTTTGCCACAGATCTCTCAGCAAACTCTGCCCTGGTCTCAGCCTTGGTGGGGAAGAGAATTGGGGGAGAGGGGTCAGACACTCTGAGGGAGCCCCTCTCTTTCCCTCTGCCTCACTCCCAGGCTGTGCCCCAGGGGTCTATTACTGCATGCAGTGGGGCTAAGGATGGTGTCATGGGTTTGAGGAGGTGAGCACGGGCAGGTTGGGTGGGAGGGGAGGAGGGAGCTCTCACCTCCTTCAGTTTATCTCCCAGCAGTTTAATCTCCTCTTCATATTTGTCTTCTTTGGTGGAATACTTTGGGGTAACACAAAAATACTCAGTTTCTGTTCCATCTCCCGAGAGGCCTCTTATTCTTTCACTGACCCTTTACAGGCTACTTCTCTTGCCCCCTGTCCATCATTCCAGGACACACAGTATACTTTCTTCAGTGGCTCCTATCAGGCTTGATTCTCCCTTCTCCTTGGGCCCAACTCCACCTACAGAGGTGGGCTATGACTCCGTTGTCCCCATCCTCCATCTCCAGTCTTCTTCTTTATGGTGTCACTTCCCCTGCCCTATCCTTAATCTCTCTTGCCCTCACCCTGACCCTCCTCACTTCCTTCTAGTTCTCTCCATTTCATCCTTAAACAACCCATTCTCACTGCCCCGTCCTTGACGCCCTCTCCCGCCTCCTCTACCTTGTCCGCTTGGGCCTCCAGGGATTTCAGGTTGTTGGTAACAATTTTCAGTTCCTCCTCTAGGTCCCCACATTTACTGTTCAGGAGTGGGGATGAGAAGGAGCAGAGGAGACAGTGGGGGAGACCGATGGGGGGGAACACAAAGGAGAGTGATGGGGGCAGGGTGGAGAGAAGAAAAACAGGAGAAGACAGGATTGTGAGAAGGGGATTCAGGATATCGGGAGTGGAGGGAAGATTGTGGGGAGAAAGGAACAAGAGAGCAGATAGATCTGTCGTATCAAGCCTAACTCAACCACCCAGTCCGTCCTGACTCCCCCAAGCGGGTGGCAGCGCAGCCTGAGGTCCAGTAGTGGTGAGCAGTGAGGCAGTGGCAAGGATGCAGAGAAAACCCAGAGCTACTGCCCAGCCAACCCCATAGGCTGCTACCTCCTCCTCCGAGGCTATCAGGGACTTGAGGGCCTGGTCCATGGTTCGGAGCTCTTCTTCCAGCTGCCGGGCCCGGCTGGGGGGCCATGGTGGGGCAGGGAAGCAGGTGAGTGTATGGGGAGGGGGACAGGATAGAACCTATCACTGAGGGCTCCCAAGCCTGTAATATGGAGTCCCAGGGACCCCCCACCCCAATCCTGGATCCTTGTTCTGTCACTCCTGGAGCCCCTCACATCCCTTTACCTGCAGAGGTGAGCCCCTCCCCCCACTTCCCTCATCCCCCATGAATGCCCTTACTTTGGACATCCATTTCCTCCCCATGTCCCTCCTGGCCCCCTCCTCACCTCTCAGCCACTTCTGCTCTCTCCTCTGAGCGCTCCAGCTCCCCCTCCAGGATCACCAGCTTCCGGGCCACCTGAGGGACAGGGTGGGGGACCCAGGCTATATCTGAAGGTGTCATGGGGATGTTGGGTGGGCGTGGGGTCCGAATGGAGGAAGGGCTGGTGGAGACTAGGAATTCCAGGGAAGAGCTGGGCTATCGTTGAGGGAGTCTGGGAGGCTCTGGGGGTGCTAGGGAGCATCGGGTGGCCTTTACCTCCTCGTATTTTCTGTCGGAATCCTCTGCAATGTGTTTGGCTTCCTTTAGTTGCATCTCCTGCAGCTCCATTTTCTCCTCGTCCTTCATGGCCCGGTTCTCAATGACCTTCATTCCTCTGAGTAGAGGAGGAGAGAAAAAGAAGGGCTCAGTGTTGGGAGAAGGCCCTTGGCCTTTCCTCAGGTCAGTGGGCCCCCTCCCCTAAAAAATCAACAGTCCACTGACCTCTCGCTCTCATCCGCTGCTTTCTCTGCTTCCTCCAACTTCTGAAGAGCCGTGGCCAGACGTTCCTGGGCCCTGTCCAACTCTTCCTCTACCAGCTGGATACGCCGGTTCAGGGAGGCCACATCTGCTTCAGCCTAGAGGAGGTAAGAGGTTACAGGTTAGGGATACCATGCCTATGGCCAGTTGGGGTCAGAGGTCACAAGATCTCAGTTCATTCCCTCCCCCAAGGTCTTGGCCAAATATACTTGTGGGTCTGGCCAGAAGGAACCCAAGATTTGCATTCCTCAATCTGGGACACAGACCTCCTTTATGCTACTTGGAATAGGCAATGGTGGGGTCTGATCTGAGGACCAAGGGAACACATAGCTACTGTCCTTACACCCATTTCCTGTTTCCTCTCCATCACCTACTGGAGCTTGGATATTCTTTATGGACACAGGATTGCTGAAGTGTAGTGGGGATAGGGGCCTTGACGTTGAAATTTGACACAAAGCCTCAGGGTAACTTACCCTGGGCCCCAGAAACTTCTGACTCTGAACTCTGAGACCCTAGGCTAAGCAGACCCTAAAGAATACATTTTGTGATGGGGGTGAACACACAGGGACCCTAACCTGCCCTACCTTTGTGACTGACCCCTCCCCATTTCTACTTGTCCCAGGAGAAGAGGCTGAGTGAGCCCTGCCTCTGTCCAGGAAACCTCAGGGCAGAGCAGGGACTTCTCAATTTTGCATGACATCATTGATGCCAGATAAATTCTCTCCCTTAACTGCAGGGCATGGAATATAATATTCCGGAGGGCAAAGGAGATAGGATTACAATCAAGAATCACCTACCCAGCAAAACTGAGTATAATCCTTCAGGGAAAAAAATGGTCATTCAGTGAAATAGAGGACTTTCAAGTACTCCTGATGAAAAGACCAGAGCTAAATAGAAAATTTGACTTTCAAATACAGGACTCCAGTGGAACATGAAGAGGTAAACAGGAAAGAGAAATCATGAGAGACTTATTAAGATTGAACTGTTTACATTCCTGCATGGAAAGATGATATTTGTAACTCATGAGAACTTTGTCAGTATTAGGGTAGTTGAAGGAAAAAAAATATATGTATATATATATAGATAGATAGATAAAGGGCACAGGGTGAATTGAAGATTAAGGGGTCATATCTGGAGAATAAAATTAAGGGATGAGAGAGGATGATACTCGGAGAAGAAAGGTAGAATGGGGTAAATTATCTCACAAAAAAACCAGAAAAGTCTCTCACAGTGGAGGGGAAACAGGGGAAGGTGAGAGGGAATGAGGGAATCTTATTCTCATAGGATTTGGCTTAAGGAGAGAATAACATACACATTCAATTGGGTATGGAAATCTGTCTTACCCTACAGGAAAATAGGGGGAGAAGGGGACAAGAGAGCAGGGGGATGATAGAGAGGAGGGCAGATTGGGAAAGAGGGTAATCAGAAGCAAATACTTCTGAGGAGGGACAGGGTCAAAAGAAAGAATAGAATAAATGGGAGGGCAGGATAGGATTAAGGGAAATAGAGTTAGTTTTTCACAACATGTCTACTATGGAAGTGTTTTGCATAACTGCACATGTACAACCTATATTGAGTTGCTTGCCTTTTCAATGAGGGTGGGTGGGGAGGGAGGAAGGGAGAAAATTTGGAACTCAAAGTTTTAAAAACACATGTTTTAAAAAAATGTTTTCACATGCAACTGGGAAATAAGAAATACAGGAAATGGGGTACAGAAGTCTATCCTGCTCTACAGGAAAATAGAAGGGGAAGGGGATAAGAGAAGGGAGGGGGGAGAGATAGAAGAGAAGGCAGACTAGGGGAAGGGGTATTCAGAATGCATGCCATCTTGGGGTGGGGGAGGGGTAAGGAATTTGGAACTCAAAAACTTGTGGAAGTGAATGTTGAAAGCTAAAAATAAATAAATTTATATTTAAAAAAATAAAATAAATTCTCTCCCTTAAGTAACTTGTAGCCACCAGAATATTTCAGCCCAATGCAGAAACCCAGAGAATCTGAAAACTCAGAGACAGAGGGAGAAATACTAAGACAGTGAGATAGAGAAAGATGCAGATACTGAGGTAGACAGAAACTCTCAGATGGTAGCAGAGACCTTGTGATACTGTGAAAAAGAATGACAAAGCAATCCTAAGACAGAGATGCTGAGAATAACCCACATTTGTGGGTTACAAAGTGATTTCCTCACAACATTATGAGGTAAGTAGTGGCTCTTATATCTCTTTTACAGTAAACAGACTCAGAATTGCCTTGGTCACAGAGCTTGTAAAAAGTCAGAGGTGGGACTGGAACCTAGGTCCTTGGTCAAAGGGCCAGGAGCCACCAAGATATTAAGATAGGCAGAGACAGAAACACAGAGATATTGAGATAGCACCAAAGAGAGAGACACTGAGACAAAGAGATATTAAGGTATTGAGAAAGAGAGACACAGTCACTGAGAGAAACAGGAATGGGCAGTGAAATACTGAGCAAAAACAGAAGCAGACATAAAGGATGGGAGAGGCAGAAAGGGAGAGAAATAGAGACAGAGAGAAAGAATAAGCTAGGCTAGGGCAGGACAGGAAAGACAGAAAGGTTCAAAAGAAGGGAGAAGCACCAAGAGGTGACCACTTGGCAGGAAGGACAGGCTGGCTTTCAGTCAATATCCTCCATCCAAGTCCATATGATATTTAGGTTTCATCTTCTCCTGTAATGACTGAGAATGGCCAAGACTTGGCCTTTCTCCCTCTAGTTAACAGCCATGGCCCTCTGTGGTTTTGATAGTTTTTGTTGCTTTATAATTCCCAATTTATCGCCACCTATGACTCCAATACCAACTAACCTTCCTGCTCCTGTGAAAGGGGGAGATCTGGAAGCAGCCCTTATATCTTCCAACCGGTAAATCCTGAAAGGTCTCCTCTTGGCTGCCTCGTCTCCCAAGTCTCTCAACACCCCTGCCTCCATGTACCTCTCATTTCATTTTTTTTCCCATTAATTTATTTATTTTTAGTTTTCAACATTCACTTCCACAAGATTTTGAGTTCCAAATTTTCTCCCCATCTCACCCCTTCCCTCACCCCAAGATGGTGTTCATGCTGAATACTCCTTTCCTTAATCTGCCTTTCCTTCTATCACCTACCCCTTCTCTTATCCCCTTCCCTTTCTATTTTCCTATAGGGCAGGATAGATTTCTATACCCCATTGCCTGTATATCTTATTTCCCAGTTGCATGTGAAAACAATTTTTAACACTCTCATTTCATTTGAGGGAGGGGGCAATTAGGGGAAATTGGAGGCAAGGAAATGATTCTCTGGGAAGGGATTCTCTGGAAGCAGATACTTTCTTGGAAGGAGACTCTCTCTGGGAAGCCAGGGAGTCCTTAGACCACTATCTACCCCTGAAATGCATGGGAGTAATCTTGATTCCATTAGCCTGTTTCACTTTATTCCTTTCAGCCCCTACCATGTCCTCTCCAGGCCCCACCCCCTCGCCCCAGCTCCTTAGGTTTCCAGGCTAGCCTCCAGTACAGGGTCCAGGGTTATTTATAGGGTGTCAGATGGCTGAGGGGTCGTCTCCCCCCATCCCCCCACCCAGCAGCTGCAGGTCAGTCCCTTCCCTAGTGGTCCAAGCTTGATATGGAACCAAGGGCGTAGGCTGGGGGAGGGTTTTGAAAAGTGGTTGAAGGGGACAGGGAATAGAATATTGAGGGATTTCAGAGTATAAGTAATAATTAGCAATAAATTAAAACCATTAATAATAGCAGTAATAATAGGATTAGCAATCTCTGGCTCATATTAATAATAGTGGTTGACATTAATATAGTGCTTTAAGGTTTACAATGTACAATATCTCATTTGATTCTCTGATGAGCTAGCTACCACATTCCCCATTTTACAGATCAGGAAACTGAGGCTCAGAGAGGTTGAGTGACTTCTCTATGGTCTCGATGCTAATTAATTGTTAGAGGAAAGATTTAAACCCAAGTCTCTCCTGACTCCAAATATAGCTATACCACATGTACACCAATGTATACAAGTAATTTTAATGTACATTATCTCATCTGAACCTCACAACTGCCCAGAGGGAAGGCAGGGCAGAAGCTATTGTTTCATCCGATAGAAAAACCAAGGCTTGGGGAAGTTAGTTGCCTTACCTAAAGTCTCACTGCAAATTTGTTTCAGTCTCTTAGCTCATAGTCCAGCGCCCTATCCTTTAGACTATGATGGGAGGTCTCTGTTAGGCAGGGATATTAGTGAAGTGGGGTTGGTGCAGGGCTGGCCAAGTTGGCTGCCTCAGCACCCATGGGTCCTGTGTTCCGCTGCCCTGGGCCCTGGCAAGACCACGGATCTGACAACTTAATGAGGGTAAATGAGGAAGGGAGTACGAGCCCACTGAAGGGCAGGGACAGGACCCTAGATCAGTCACTACCCCTGGCAGTAGGCAGCCAGAGCCAGGGGTCAAGGCCGGGGAATTTCTAGTAGCCCCTCAGAGGCTGTCACTCACTCATGTAACCTGACCCAGAACTTGATCCTTTGATCCCTGGTACACCCTTCCTTCCAGTCCCTATCTCTGGGTTTGTTCCTATCTCTGTAAGCTCCTCTTTCCCTGCCCTCTACCCTGATCCACCCCATATTCCTGTGTTCCTTCCACGTTCAGTCATATTCTCCATTATGCATTGGAGATTATCTGTGGCAGTGGTTTACTTCTAATTTCAGATAATCTGTCCAACTGCTCCCTTACTCTAACGCAGATTAATCCAAACCAGACTGTGGCTCTTGGGGAGAGTCTGGGGAGAGCCCTGTATTCTCTTCCTCCCTAGACTGACTGACCTGTGGTCCCTGCTCTTTGCTTGCTCCACACACATACTCACATCAGTGGCTTTTTTCTCCGCCTGCTCCAGTTTCTCCTGGGCATCTTTCACAGCCTCGGAGTACTTTTCCACCTCATCCTCTGTCCCCTTGAGCTTCTTCTGGAGTCCCTGCTGCTCTTCTTCCAGCTGGGAATAGACAAATCTCCATCAGGTTGGGTGGGACAGCAGGATCAGGGCACAGGAAAGAGTGAGTTTGAGAAGGGGGGGTGTCGTCAGTTTAGGGGAAGTAGAGTGGCATAAGCAGGTGAGAGACATCATAGAGTCCTGGAAAGGTCAGGGAGCCTAGATAAGATCGAATCCAGAGGTGGAGAAGCTGCAGCCCTGAGGCTACATGTGGTCCTCTAGGTCCTCAAGTGCAGTTTGTTCTGTGAAGTTTGGATTCAGTCAAAGGGCTGCACTTGAAGACTAGAGGGCCACGAGTGGCCTTGAGGCCAAAGGTTCCCCACCCTTGATCTAATCCAAACCCCCCAATTTACAAATGAGGAAACTGAGGTTGAGAGGGTCTGTAGACCTGGCAGAATGGTGAGTGATGTTAGAGAATAAGGATAGCTTTATGGGGTATGTATAACAACATGATGGTGGGCATAGAGATTAGGAGGTATGTAGAAGGAAGAAGATTTTATGCCTTGGGGTGTGTATATATGGTACTGTAGGAGAAGGTCCTGGGTTGGTTGAGTAAGATATGACAGGGAGTAGAAAGAGGTATAGGAGTGGGGGAATGGAGATCTTGGAGGTAGGGCAGGAGAATGAGGGAATTGTTTCAGGTAAGTCAGCAAACCTGGGGTACCTATCCTACTTCAAAGATAATGCCTCTGTGAAGGGGGCAAAGTGAAGATTTGGGGAGTCATCTGCAGCTTAGGGATGATGATGAGGTTAGAACTGAAAAACAAAGAGGGTGTGTGTGTGTGTGTGTCTGTGTGTGTAGTGGGTGGGTATCTGTGCATCTGTAGGGTATTTGGGATCCCCAGATGGGATCCTGAGAAAACTGGAAGGCAATTTGGACAGTTTGAGTGGAAGGATTGGGGGCCCACATCAAGCATCCTGGATGTGGAGGGATGAATTCCAGGGTAATTTGGTGAGAGGTCCGAAGGAGGGGGCTGAGACAGCCTAGGATGGAGTATTTGGGGAGGGGACTGGGGGCTCAAGACAGGCTGAGGTGCTATAGGTTTGGGGACACACAGTCCAGAGTTTCGGGGCCCCACCTGCTTGCAGCGGTCTTCTGCTTGTTTCTTGTCGGCTTCTGCTTGCTCGGCTCTGTCAATGGCATTCTCCTTATCAAGTTTTAGCATCTGCATCTTCTTCTTGATGGCGTCCATGGCTGCGGCTGGTAGTGGGCTGGAGAGGCTGAGCTAGGGCGAATGGGCTGTGCGGACCGGGGTCGGAACGGGCCAGGCAGACGGCTGGCTGTATGGACCAGGAGGCACTGAGACGTCCCAGCCCGGAGCCACCGCCTAAAAGGCGGGGAGGGACCGGGCGGAGCCGGGGACCCGGGACCCTCCCCCACTAGCCGCCCGAACCTTGTAGGGGCAGAAGCAAGATCTGGGCAAAAGGGGGAGGGGCAGAAACGAGGTGTGCGTGGAGGGGTAGGGGAGGGAAGCAGGCTGGAGGGACTTTACCTCTTAGGCCCCTACCTTCACAGCTGCCCCTTTGGATCACCCCAAACTTCTCTGACACAACTGCCCCCACTCTTAGTCCTTCCCTGGCCCCGCCCATTGTAAATGACCTGGGCTGGAGGCTTGAGGTCTGGAGCTGTGACCCTGACCCTCGAGGAGGCTAGGCATGGGGGGAAGTGGAGTCGGGGAGAAGCCCCCAGGAACAGGACAGTATGCTCCCAATATGGGCAGGGGGGCTCCGGGGTCTTTAAAGGAAAAAGCACCAAGGGTCAGGGGTCCGGGCTGAGTGACACGGGGCAGCTGCCGTCTGAGGCCCCTGGGGCTATTTCGGGGCGTGAGCTCACGGCAGCTGGCGGGGGGGGGCAGTCACTCCCCCCTCATTCCCCTACCCCCGCCCTCGGCTTACAGCAGTCGCTACCCTTAATTTAGATATTATCGCTAAATCCACCCCGGAAAGAATGTCTCCTGGGAAGCTGTCAGGGGACGAGCAGCGCTTATGCCTAGCCTCCGCTCTCCACGTGCCTCAGTTTCCCCCTTGAGTTTGGTATTCTGTTGAGAACGAGAGAAGAGCAAGGAGCAGGAGGGCAGCTGCGTAGCGCTGAAACCTCAAACCTCGGTTACTTCCCTTGGCTCACCTCTCTTTTTTGGGACTGGCAGGGAATGCCTTTGCCAAGGATCTTAGGGCGAAACTGAGGCCAAGAGGGGCGCGAGGCAAACACCGGGGGTTGAAATCCGACCGGGCAACCTGGGCACTCGAGGCGTCCAGCGGGGGCGTGTGATCCTAGCCCGAGAACCAGTGCCCTTCCCGCCCAGACCCCAGGCGGCTGGCACGACACTCGCGACGGATCCTTCTCGGTGGCAGTCCGGCTTTCCCAGACCTCCCAATTAATGGCCCCTCACGCGGGACCACAGTAGTCCTCCCATTCCTCTCTGCTGCCTTCCCTTCCCCCTTCCCTCACTTTTCCTCCCCTCCTTCCCCTGGCACTGGGACACGCCCCTCCCTCCACGTGCCCCGCATTTTTTCCACGATGCCTCGGGCTGCCGGAGCCCTTCACCCCAGTTCCGAATCGGTGATTGCCAGGAGCCGGGGCTCCACCTTGGGTTTCTGTCCCTGGAGACTGTCATGGGACGGAATCGCTCCACTCTGGTCTCAGGCCCCCCCACCCCTTCTCTTCCTCCCCTCCTCCTCTCCATCCCACTCTCTCCAGCTTATTCCCCCTCCTCCCTCCCATTCTCTCCGCCTCTCCAGCTTCGCAGGCCAACTTTGCTCTGAAATTTCTTTTCGGCCCTTTTTTGGGTTCATTTTCCGCGGAGAGGCGGGGCCAGGCTAGGGCGGAACGGGGGAGGTACTAGTACCCAGGGAGTCTCCTCTATGCCCCGCTCCCCATCTCTGCTCTTACTCTAGCCAATAGGGGAGATCTCGGAGCAACCCCTCAGAAAAAGGGGAAGCATCTTCGGAAGCTAGCCTGGGTTGGTCATTTGATCTTCCCATGAATTAGGCTAGGAGACCCTTCAGGGACCAGGGCTTCGGTGGGGGCCCACGGGGAAACCAATCGTGGTCTAGAGTTTCAGAAGTCGGGGCGGGGGCGAGAGGAAAAGCTGTTTTTATGTATTTTTAGTCTTAATCCCAAGGATGATGAAGAAAGAGAGGATGGCAGGATTCACAAGAACTAAGCAAGGTGGGGAGGAGGGGGCTGGAGAAAGTCAGTGCAAGCTCAAGTCCCAGGGCTGTGGGAGTGAGAAGACATTTAAGGTTTGGAGCTGGCGACCTGACAATGGGGATCCATGGGAGGGGAAATACACTGAAGCTACATGGTCTTGGTCTTTCCCAGAAGTCACTACTGACTACTACTACCTCTGTAGAAGAAAGCCGAAATGCCCAAGAGGGAGACATCAGCCAGCCTCCATCCCATCCTGCCATGGGGGTGGAGGGGTAGGATGTGGCAAACCAAAGATTCCAGGATTAGTGAAATGCTGAAAGTCTGTGTGTAGGTTCATAGTATGAATACATAACTTGTGTATAGGGGTGGGGAGCAGTTGAGGGACATAGTGCCGATGTGGCCCAGCCTCTGGGAGGTAGATACTTGACCTTGATTTCTTAATTACAGTTACTGCGACTGGTCTGCATAGGAAAGAGCTGTTGTTGATCAGAACAAACCAAGCTCTTCTCTTACATCCAGCCTTCTCCTGTCTCTGCCTTTGCTTACACAGCCCCCATGCTTAGAATACACTGCACTTTCCAACCCTCCCCAACATCTTCATATCACATTCTCCAGCCCACTTTCCCTGCCTCCCACCCAGTTTAAATCGATCTCTCCCTTCAGACCTCTCCTTCAAATTTCTCCTGACATGTCTATAACTATAAAAAGTCTATTACATTTAACCTTATTTCATTACTTTGGTACAAATCATGTTCCTTTGCCTTCCCCATTAGACCTTTTGATAGCAGAAATCCTTTATAAAAGATCTGAGATTTAGGATTGGAAGGGACCTTAAACATCATCTAGTCCTGCCTCTTCATTATATAGATTAGAACATTTAAGCCCAGAAAGGCTAAGTGAGATTTGCATACACGATTAGTAAATATCTAAGGTAACATTTAAATTCAGCTCTTCCCAATGCCAAGTCAGGGAACTACTTGACTGTACCTTATATTAATCTTTCAATTGAAAATGCCTAACTTGGTGCCTTGTACTTAAAAGGTGCTTAAAGTTGTTGAAGGAAACGGAAGAGAGGGTCTAGGTGGGTTATTTCTGATTGGGGGATACTTGACCCTACACAATATCCCCATTCCTCAAGCTCTTTGTTGCTGCCTCCCATCCTCCTCTGGGCCTGGGTCATCCCTTCCAAAGATCACTCAGGCCCTCAGTCTGCAGAGGTCATACTGGTTTTCCCTCTACCTCTACCTCACCTCTTTAAATCATTTAATAGGTATTTATTCCACACCTACTATGTGCTATGTGCTGGGGGCTACTTAGATACCTCTCCTAGAGGTAGCTGGTGGCACAGAGGCACTAGTCCTGGAGCTAGGAATACCTGAGTTCAGATCTAGCCTCAGACCCTTACTAGTTGTACGATCTTGGGCAAGTCACCGACACTCTGCTTCTATTTCCTCACTTGTAAAATGAATACACCTACCTCCCAGTATGGTCGTGAGGATCAAAGGAGATAATATTTGTTAAAAAAAAAAAAGGACCTAGCACAGTACCTGGCATATAGTGGGTGCTATATAAATACTTATTTCCTTCCCCTTTCCATAAATGAACAAGACCTGGTCTGCTCTTAAGGAACTTACTGTCCAATAGAGGAGATAAGGTACCGCAGAAAAGAATTATACCAGAAGTCAGTTAGTGGGAATTAGGAGGGCAAAGGGATCTGGTTGGGTTTGGAACTGTGGGTGGGCAGGCTAAAGACAGCTTCATGAAAGAGGTAACATTTTATTTCAGCCTTGCAGAATGAGCAGAATTCCACAGGTAAAGATGAGGTTAAAAAACTCTGCTGAGGACATGAGAGGGGGAAACCTCAAAGAAACAATGTTCAGAAGCTTGGAGATGCCAAATTCCAAAGATGTAGTTAGTTAGTGATTTTCCATCTGATCCCACATGACCTTGTCTGAAGTCTGTTCTTGTTCACGATTTTTAAAAGCGTAGCACCCGCTCTAGAAGCACTGTACAATTAAGTTTTTTTTTTAATTTATAGGCTGGAGTCCCCAGGAAGTGTCTGACTACTTCTTCCCTCAAGGTTTTAGGAGTAATGCCAAAGGGGTGAGGTTTCTAGTATTGTTATTCACATGCCCCCACTGGTGTGCTTCTCCATTGTTCTCAGCCAGTGGCTTTAACAATCTTCTTAGCAAAGGTATTTACTAAATAGTATAGTAAAAACAATTGGTACAAAATAATTCCCTAGGGGCAGCTAGGTGGCAGTGGATAGAACACTGGCCCTAGATTCAGGAGGACCTGAGTTCAAATCCAGCCTCAGACACTTCACATGTACTAGCTGTGTGACCCTGGGCAAGTCACTTAACCCATTGCCTAGCCAAAAACAAAACAAAACAAAACAAAATAATTCCCTACAAGGTAATAGGGTGGACAAGAAGACTATAAAACATGGTGAAGAAGTCATTGTAGAAGGTGGGAGTCCTGGAAGTAGATGGTTCAACCTTTGAAAAATGTTTTTGAATGACTCTGATAAAGTCAATTCCTAGGAATGGCAATGGAGAACAAGGAGTATCCTAACTAAGGAGTCAGGAGGATTAGGAGTAGAAGCCTCCATTGAATATAGGTGTGAAGAAAATTGGAACACTAATGCATTGTTGCTGGAGTTGTGAAATAATCCAACCATTCTGGAGAGCAATTTGGAACTCTGCCCAAAGGGCTATAAAAATGTACATACCCTTTGACTCAGCAATAGCACTTCTAGGACTGTATCCCAAAGAGATCATACAAATGGGAAAAGAATCCACATGTACAAAAATATTTATGGCAGCTCTTTTTGTGGTGGCAAAGAATTGGAAATTGAGGGGATGCCTATCAATTGCGGAATGGCTGAGCAAGTTGTGGTATATGAATGTAATGGAATATGATTGTGCTATAAGAAATGATGAGCAGGCAGACTTCAGAAAAACCTGGAAAGACTTGTATGGACTGATGCTGAGTGAAATGAGCAGAACCAGGAGAACATTGTACACAGTAACAACCATGTTGTTGGATGACTAACTTTGATAGACTTAGCCCTTCTCAGCAATGCAAGGATCTAAGACATCTCCAAAGGTCTCATGATGGAAAATGCTATCCACATCCAAAGAAAGAAGAGCTATGGAGTTTGAATGCAGATCG